CCAGTGCACCAGTTGGCAAGGAAGAATCTGCAGTTACTAGACACAGATATCAAAACCCCTGGAAGTGGACCACGACTGTGCTTATGAAGAAACCTACGATTCTTGGTCTCTTTAAGTCCAATATCTGCATATATATCTCTTTTAACCTCCTAGCTACCTGCTGTGTTGGGTAAAAGAGTTTCATCAGAATTTAACGCAGTTTTACTAGGTAGCTGTCTAAAGGGACGGACGAAAAGGAGCCTAGAGTGCCACGACGGTGCGCGTCGTCTGCAATGTGCGTTATACTGTGCGCATTGTAACCATCTGCTCCTGGGCATGTAAACTTCAAAATTTCGTGGCAAAAAGCCTAAGTAATTTCCTCACATATCCAATGTTACTTTGACATACACAGAAGCTTGAAGGCGATTCGCAACGCACGGGCGAATTCCTCCATCCCGCGGCCCCTTTTCACGTTCCAAACATGGGAAACATCTAAAGGAATCGTTCGGTTAGGTGGACTATAGACACTTACGTGCGACCATCCTGTGTATGCGCGTTGGTCGCCGGCAAGGTTTAACATTTCTATCAAGTCTTCGGGCAGCACACAGCGCATCAGTCTTTCCACGACTTTGATAATACGTGTGCTGCCAAGCCTAATCGCAAATGCCAGCATTATACCGGCATTTTCAAGGCAGAAAAGTGTCAGCACGCCGATTGGCCGAGATACTCACGTGATGGGTTAATTCCGGGAACTGCTGGTCAGCGTCGTGAGTGCAGTCGGTCCATGAATGTCAAGTGCTAAGTGACAGAATTGGCGCGTTGGCAGTTTGTGCGTACGCAGAGGCGTCATCGATTTGGCCCAAACAACAGGTTTGCGAACGGACCTCAGGTAATCAGGCTTATCGAGTCTTTCAGTCATTGCCGCACCTCTGGAGACAGACAGTCTAGAGGTCAATGGACCCAGCCTCTTAAAGTACGGTTCCGAACGGAGCTTCAGTTCCGGATTTGGTGATCCGAGTGTCCAACATGTTTTGTCTTGGCGGCCATTGTTATCTACTCACATATTCATTCCCCGTATGTTTCTATGCGTTTGGTTATCTGCATTTTCTCAAGAAAACGTCAGAGATCTTTTAAAAGGCGTATCGCATGGCAAGCCAGGAAAAGGCATCAGGGAATGAAGAATGTAAGGGAAAGGTTGTCTCAGTTTCTTTGGCTTCGTAACTCTCGACGTCGGGGTCAGGATCGTAATACATGTGAGAATGACAAGCTGCCTATGAGGGAGGTGGTGAGGTTGTGGGCTGTCCACATACGTACACCGCACTGCTACCTGAAGACCTTATGACCCCTATTTAAAGTATTTGTCGAAGATATGCCTCTAGATCCTAGGACACTGTTAGGGACAACGACCACCTGCGCTGTAGGTCCAATGTCAGCAAGAAAATGGAAGATTGCCGTCGACTGGCGGTTCTCTGTTTCCTTCTCAGAAGTTTGGAACTTATCAAAGTCCGTCATTGACCTGATAGGAAGGGGAAGTAGAGCATTTTTTTAAAACCCCGGGTGTCGCTGGACACGTTTAATATCCTATTTGTGATTTTCGTGAGATTTTCTTCGACGGCCGTAGACCGCCCGTCCATGCCTCCCAAAACATCTGCGGAAGTTAAGCATCACATGTCAACCTACCAAGCACACATTCCTGGCGGTTTGTATCGTCTACGTGTCGTCGTTGTCGGTGATGTTGACGGCAGTCACGGCGGTACGACCGTGACCGTGCGGTAGCTTTGCGGTGGAGGGGATCTTTTTATGGTGACTCCTTGCCACCCCCTCCCCCCAAGCTGCATGTAATGCATGGATTGACGAAAGATTGGCAACGATGGCGTTAATCTGGAACCCCGGCCACTGGTGGTGGGACTCGCTGACTAAAATGAAGGCAAGAGTGCCACTGCCGTATTATTCGTGACTTACGGCGTTGGTCGAGGCGCGAGCCGTAAAGATATGTTCCGATGTTCTAACTACAAATGCGTCCATGGTAGCCCTATACAACTCGCGAACTTCCTGTCTATGGACTACCCGATTGTGGGATTCGCGAGTGAAGTCTACTATTATGCTTAGCACAGATGGCGTATCCGCACCAGTTAGAAGAAAACATCAGCACGACGGGATGGGGGCACTGCCGTCCACTCTAGTTTTCTAAAAACTGCAAACGTTTCCACGTCGTCAGTCAATTCTCCTTGAGAAAATTCACTCCCCAGACGCGTTTTATACATTTTACACCCCGATGACGCTCTGGGATACGTAAAGGCATCGGGAGCGTTTATGAAAGCAGAGTAGTTACGTCTGCCATCACAACATACAATGATCCTAATGCACGTCAGCCGTACCCTCCGCTAAAGCGACGAACCACTTGTTTTAGAGTCCTGCATGGTTTTCTCAAGAGCCCCTCTAATTGACCCAAATAACTTTCAAATGGAAATGAACGGATGGCGTCCATTGGCCAGTTAGTGTCTGACAACGTCGTCGGGGATGTACACAACACTGTAAACATTATACTTCATTTGGCCTACACCGTACAAACGTAGAAGGGAGTTATAGAAGCGCTTAACTACAGCATGGCAGCTCCTCTGCATATTGGATGCTGCACTATATTTTAGTTAGAATGCTAGAGTAAATGACACTGTCTCCATCGCGTCGTCCCTATGCATTCTTTTAACTGGTGCGGATACGCCTTCAGTACTAAGCATAATAGCAGACTTCGCTCGCGAACCCCACAACCGAGTAGTCCATAGATAGGAGGTTTGCGAGTTGTATGGGACTACCATGGACATCCACAACTCCATCACCGAATCTAAAAAATCCAAAACATCCACCTTACGGTTTCCGCCTGGACCAGCGCCGTAATTCGCCAATAGAACGGCAGTGGCATTCTTGCCTTCATTTTAGTCATCAAGTCCCACCACCAGTGGCCGGGGTTCCAGATGAACCCCACCACTGCCAATCCGTGCATTCACTGCAGCGTGGAGGTAATGATAGGGAACCATTACGTCACACGTTCGAGGTCGCACCATCACGACCACCGTCGTCGCCAACATCACCGACAACGACGACCTGTCGACGACACAGGCTTCCAGGAAAGAGTGCCTGGTAGGTTGACATGTGATACTTAACTTGGGGAGGCGTGGACGGGTGGCCAATGTTTGTCAAAAAAAGTGTCAGGGAAATCCTAGATAGAATATTAAACGTGTCCAGCGACACCCGGGGTTTTAAAACAGGTAATCCTCTCTCCTTTCCTATCAGGTCAATGACGGACTTTGATAAGTTCGAAACTCCTGTGGTGGAAACAGTGAACTGCCGGCCGACGGCAATTTTGCATTTCTTTACTGACATTGGACCTACAGTGCACGTGATCGTTGTTCCTAACAATGTCCTGGAAGCTAGAGGCATATCTTCGATAAATACTGTAAATAGGGGTCACAAGGTCTTCAGGTAGAAGTGCGGTGTACTTGAGTGGACAGTCCACAACCTCACCGTTTCCCTCATCCTCATTTGCTGTATTCGCTGTTCTTGCGTTGTAAACACGGAAGCATTATACACTCACATTGCTGAAGCTATCTACAGAATTGTCAAATTCGAACTCATAGTTGTCCACCTGACTCCAACGTCGAAAGTTACAAACCGAACGACGCTGAGACAGCTTCCCCCCTTGTATCCTCCACTTCCTCATGCCTTTTCCTAACTTGTCGCGCGATACGCCTTCTAAAAGATCTCTTTGATTCTCTTAGGAACATATAAATAGTCAACCGCAAATAAAAATGTTATCAGTAAATGGGTGAGTAGATAACAATGGCCGCCAGGGGAAAACGCGTCAGACACTCGGATCACCAAAACCGGAAGTAAAACTCCCTTCGGAACCATGCTTTATGAGGCTGGGTCCATTGACCTCCAGACTGTCTGTCTCCGGAGGTGCGGCAATGACTTCAGGAATCAATAACAGTCACCACCTGACCTCCGTGCGCAAAATTGCTGTTTGCGTCAAATCGATACCGCCTTTGCGTACGCACGCACTGGCAGCGGGTCACTTCTGTCATTTAGCACTTGGCATTCATGGACCGATTGCACTCAAGACGCTGACCGGCAGTTCCGGGAATTCACCCTTCATGTGAGCACATCGGCCAATCAGCGTGCGAGCATATTTCTGGCACGAAAATGCCGAAATTTATCCATCGATCTAGCGATTGGTCCGTAGTCCGTCTACAATGTGATGTCTCTCATCCGATTTAGGCTCTCTTTAGAGTTAGATGACAGCGAAACCCACCGACCTGTCCTCTTTGTAGGACAAAATGTGGGGATTTCGTTTAACCATGAAGTCCACTATCCGGAGTCAGATATGGTCGTTAATGACGTTAATGGGCTTTCGGGTCCCATTTGTTTTCTGTTAGTTGTGCATCACGATCTCATTAGAAGCCTACCGACTGCAGTCACCGATATAACTGCTGTGAAGCCACACAAGTAGTAGAGGCACTACACTTTACCTCTGCTGATTTCGAATCAAGGTCATCAATTCGACTGAAATTCACTTGCCGTCTCAACTATTAATGGCCACGAATTCCAGAGGACTACGTCGACCCAAGATAAACTCATTTAGTCAGTAAGCTTAGGTTTAACTTACCGTTTCCTGTTTTCGACTCTTGTTATGGCATGTACGGAACTTAATCTGTGTTCGTCCTTTTTCACATCATTTACGAAAGTGGTTATTTCTCTCACCCCTGAGAGCTTTCATGATCCACAATTTGAAAACGCTACTGGATATTATGGTAGTTTTTCGATTATTTGGCTTACCCGCAGCTGATTAATTGAACATAGGGCAAATTTAAGCATAGGGCGCCCCGGCAAGCTGCGTGATTTCCTATTCACCAGTCCTTGTCTATATGATGACTAGCCTTCCCCGTCTTGGACTTTAAATCAGCTATTTACGTTACTTTCTTGCCCCACAGGTTATCAAAGGTCATCTCTTTAGTACTGCCAAAATGCAAGACAACATTCCAATTCCTCCGAAGAAATACGAATGTAAGCATCTGCACCATATTTCACTTTGACCAGATTTGGATCACACGGCCGATGTCCAGTACGTGGGACTCGCACCGTTTATTTTTCCTCTTTAGATTGCACGCTTGGGGCGATAGCTTAAAAGAAGCTTTTGAGCAGGTTAGCCTGTTCATAATATTTTATATTAAATAAGGTGGCCACAGCCATGTTTGAATATATGACTCAGGACTTCTCCACCGTTGAAATGAAAAGCAAGATGGAGATCGAAGCATCAGGTAAGAAAATTTTACGACAGTTTTACGTCACTCTGCGTTTAATCGCTCGCTTCCTATCCAACAGTTTTTAAGCAGCAGGATTTCCTGGGATCTGTTATGGTATGATTACCGAGTTGTCCGTCTTCCTAATTCCCGAGTCGCTCTCAACATGTACCCAGATTCGTAAGTGTGCTTTTAACAAAGAACAACGGTAGGGGGTCGGTTACGTTGTCCTACTCCCTAGTGTAAGCGCAGTGGGGGCATTGCAAGTAAAGTGAGCCAAATAATGATGCTGAAATCGTTATTGGGAAAGTAGCCAAAGCCAAAACGGAAGATGGCAACCTGATGTTTCGGTTCAGACATAGGACTAATTTAAGGGATTTGATTAGTGTCAGGCTGGGAATTGAGTTAAGGGTTAGGGTTTGTGTTAAGTTTAAGGACTCCGGTTAGAGTTAGGGCTTGGATTGCGGTTTAGGTTTGCGTCTAGTGTTATGGTTGGGGTTATGGCTAGTGTTAGGGTTTTTGTTAGGGTTAAGGTTAGGATTTGGGTCAGGGTTAAGGCTAGGCCTAAGGTTAGGGCTAGGGTTTGTGGTAGGTTTAGGGTTAGCGTTAGGTTTATAATTGCGTCAAGGATTAGGTCTACTTTTGGGAGTTACAGTTAGGTTTACCGTTAAGTTTGGCGTATTGTTGCCCCACGCCTCCTGTAAACCAGCTATTTTGCGGGGATTATAGGCTTCCTTCAATTTCGTGGCAGGTTTGTCATATATCGTCTCAGCCTCGACTACTTTCCGGACTACCGATTTCAACACCCTCCTCGGCTTTACTTTACTTGCAATGCCCACACTTCCCCTAGACTTGGGACTAGGACAGCGTAACCGGCCAGCGATTGTTTTGAGCATACGAGACTAGAACGGCGTACTCGACCCATGCCAGGACAACTACTTCAGCTGGGTTACAGTAATGCTTAGCGACAGACATAAATTCACAGTTTTCCCTTAAAAGGTTTTTCTCAAGACCATTTTCCAAAAAGTGCTCCGTTTACGAAACGCGGTGTTAGGATCCTTGTAAGTGTACTTGGCGTAGCCGCGACCACGCCTGATCTAGCTGACGCGGGATTTTACCTCTCCACGCGTGACGATCCACGGCAGCAAGGCTGGACAGGTCGACCCATTCTCTCTTTCAGTGACAGATATGGGATAGCGAGGGCCGAAGAACCACTTCCATGTCCTGACAAACTGCGTCGAGCTAAGTTTCGACGCCGGGTCGAGTGCAGCAACATGGAGCACATGGGACGGATGACGAAGAATGTGCCCAAACCACCTCAGTCGTCTTTCGTAGATTATGGGCCAGAGCTCGCGCGCAGTGATGGAGCGATAGTAGACCTTGATCATGGCGATGTTTTTTGCCGGAATAGCATCAAGCTTCATTGTTCGCTGCAGGAACTCGGTGGGATTTGAAACCACGACAGTCAATGCTCTAGCCACCTGAGCTACGAGGCCTAACCGGAAGACGTGAGTTTAATCATATTTGGGTCAAGTTACCCGCTCAGCCTACTGTAACATATGGAATCCACCAGATCCGATATAGTAAGCTGACTACCCCAAGCAGGATTTCCTTAGTAATCCATCTCGACTCCACCAGATGCCCACCAGGCTCCCGTACTTAGTAGGCACTTTGGCCTTCTCCTTGCTGTCGTGGGTTTGAATCCCACCCAGATCGCCCAGTTTTTCACAGTTGAGTCAAAATAAATGGTGGTTATTTATCACTTGCTGGCATAACTTGCAACTAACTGCTTATCATCTATGCCCTCCCCCCCCTTAGGAGACGACATGATGTCGCTGTTATTCCACTTCCTGGATGAGTGGCTTTTTGCTTTTTCTGCAGACGATTTCTTCTTTCCGAGGGTAATGCGCCGTTTTTATTTCTGTTGAAGTTTTAATCCTCCTTGTCGTTATTTAAATTATTTCCTCTGGCTCACACACCTTATTTTTGCGCACAGGTTATAAAAATAACCGAATTCGACAAGGTTAATTTTCGGATCAAGGCCACCGGGTAGTGTTCCTCTAAATTCTCACTTTATTTAATGCTTGAATTCAGGTGGGGAGAACCCTTTCAGTTGGGCAAGCATCCTCAGGTGGGTATTTTTTCGAGCATTGCCATGGTTACCTGCCTTTCAGGGCACGGAAGTGAAGGCTATCACTTATTCGAATATGCAAATCTATGACGAGGAGGGCAAACACGAAGTCTTTGTGATAATTGACATTTAAAATCTCTTTTTTTCCTGCCTTTTGTACTACTTTGAGATATAAAAGCTTGCAGTGACTTCTCCACGGATGTTATTGATGGTTGAGTGCTCTCACGTCCTCCTACTTGCGCCCAATTTAGACCTGCAGGACCCCATGGTGGTTCGTACTCCAGGCGTCCGCTGGTCTGTCGAGTTTCTGAACCCCCCTAAGTTCAAGGTAGCAAAAAAGTATTCACCGAAGGCTAGCTGCAAAGATGAAACCGCGAGACAGGCTGAAATGCGGAGAGCCGACTTCTAGCATACTGACTGCCATGTAAAATACCAAAAGTCCCAGTGACCGAGTTGTGACATGACGACCCCGTGAACCGTAATGAAACACTACGTCACGCCATTGCTGCCATGCGGTTAACTTCAAAAGAGTTGAGTCGCTGGCGGAAACAGCTTCGAAGCTACAGCACGGAC